AAACTATATATTAAAAATGAAAATGAATAAGTAAAATAAAAAGTTTTCTTTCGTCATAATTGATTTTTAAAACTAAATTTCAAACAAATTTTTTTATTTATTCTTTATTTATTATAATACTTTCAATATCCAATAAATTAATTATTTTGAATTTGTTTAAAAATCTTTATGTCGTTATTATTAAAGCTTTTTATATGTTGAAAAGCATTTTGTTGAGCTTGTGTTTCATATTGCAAACATTAAAACCGTTTTTCTAAGTCAAGACAAACTCCAATTAAAAATAAGGTTACTGTCCTCTAGCGGTAAAAGAGTATAAAATTTTTTTTGATAATTTAACGCAGTATTTCTGGACGCTATGTTGAATTGTTGCTGTGGTTGAGTCATTTTAAGGTGATTTTTTCTAATACCAAAATTTTTGTCTACTAAAATTTTAACACGATCGCATTTATGAAGTGAAGTCTAGAGATTAAAAATATTTTAAAAGAAACTTAATTAATTGGTATGTAACATTTTTTGCTACAAGATCTTACAAATTACCAATCTTAAGTATTTATATAGAAAAATGCTGATAGAAAAAATGTCTGTTACCCCTAGCTACAGATATCATGTCCAGTCATATTCTTTACGATTATACCATGTTTGCTTGGGCCAGAACGCGTCTTCCAATGTGATATTAAAAAATAATCAACCTGAATTGTTTGCATAAAGATCTACTAAAGTTGTAGTGCTTTGCTTCATCACTGGTTTCGAAATTACAACGACAAATCCAACTAGTACTTCTAGGTACTTTAAATATCTTTTTAATATCTGATTGTTAAGATTTCGAAAAACTTGTTAAGATAAAACTGTCACTCAAACTATCAGTATGTGCATTTTTCTTCTTCTTCTTCTTAGCTCCGTTAACTGTTCGTGGAGCATAGGCCTCAAGTTTGTGCATTAACAGGTGTGATCTGGTGTGATCTATATAACGATTTAATTAATTTACTACTTTTGGATTTTTTTATATAAGTATTTAGTTATATTTATATGAATTATATAAATTCATTATATAATTATGAATTAATTTATGAATCCATTAAAACTGATTCCGTTGTTTAAATATTGATGAAGCAATAATATATTTTGAACTATTTAGAAAAAGCTTATGTAAATACCACGTACAGTACTATAAATCTCTAACTTTAACCAGTTAATTAACTTTCACAATAAATTGAAGAAAGCTCAAGTTCGAACATACGACTTAAGTATGGCTTTGGGTCAGTTGGCTAAAGATAATTCACTCTGAGCTTTAAATTCAGCAGGTTACGATAATTATAATTAATGAATAAATAAATAAAAGAAATAATTCCAACACCATTGATAATGGGTATTTGGTAATACTCGAAACAGCTGTATGGTCAGCCAAAAATTCAATAAATTAGAAAAAAATAAAATTTTTTGTTGTAATTTACTACTTCTCGATAATAACCGCTCTATAGAAAATAATTGAGTAAGAATATTTAAAATTGAGTTAAATAGTCTCTGCCATTATAGGTTGAGAAGAAGATTATTCTGGGAGAGGCGACTTGCTAATTATAGTTATCTTCTATTCCTGTTAAAACATTTGGTTTTCCATATGATGTTGAGGAGATCCGATAAGTTTGCCATCATAACTGATGTTAAAATAAAATTTAATATGGATCCCTTACGTCATTGATCATTGCCTCTTTAATCAACCACATTAATAATTATCAATTATCATTCATGTCCTTTAACTGATTATATATAAATATTATGTAAATAAAAAAATTTTATTTAAATTTATTTTGACGTTTTAATTTCATTTTAATTTCATTAATTGCAATTTACAATTTTTATTTATTAATACTATAATCTATAAAAATTCTTATCAGCCTTTCTTAATTCATAATTTGATCTTTTGAATCTAATGAACCTAACATTTAATTAGAAAATATCTTAGATGTTTTTCCAATGTGGCCATGTCTTGATTTCAGTATATAATTTATCACCTGGACAAGCGGTTGCTTTGGTTTGTCTATGTCCCAACAGTGTGTAATCCTCTTTTAAGTAACCTTGCTGCACTGATTGAGCAATGAGATCCTTAGCATTTTGCAACATTTGAGCGGAAGGTGCAGTGTCTAAAATATTTAAATAAATAATAAAATATTAAAATAAAATCACTTTAGTATTTGATGAAAAGTACTTACTTTCAAAAGAACCAATAAATACAATGCCAATACTATTGCGATTATATCCTGGTGCATGGGAGCCTTGCAAACCATAGCCTCTGCCTTCATAAACATTACCATCTCCAGCAATGATGAAATTGTAGCCAATATCGCTAAAGCTACGTCTGTTCTTATGATCCGATTGAATATTCTTAATCATAGTCTTGCATTGTTGTGCACTGCTGCAGCCACCAGGATTATCCGAATGATGTATGATGACATAGTCCACCTTGCCTCTAATGCGAGAGGGAGAACGAGCTGCTACAGCACCCCATGAACTACGCGGTTGTACGGTGATCGCAAAGCAAGCGGGTAATGCTTTAAATAAAATAATTTATGACTTTAATTTTATTTAAATTATAATTAAATTTTATTACCTATTGCAAGCACTAAGAATATTTGCAAATAGTTTCTAGTATTCATTTTATTTTTTTTTTTGATGGTTTAGTCTTGAACTGATCTTCTCGGTTTCAATCTTCACACTTAAATGCTTGATTTCACTTTAGTGTTATCAGTTTATAAATGTTTTGATTTGAAGATCTTTAATTTTTTTCATTTAATTTTGTTTATTAAACAATTTAAAACTTTCTGCTGATAAGCGGAATCATCGTCGCTGTCATTATTGTGGGGATTTACCGTGAGGTTGGAAGAAGAAAACTTCGGTATCAACTTTCGTAGAATCAAATTTTTATTTTAAACTGCGCTTTGTTTCTATTCTAGTCTTGTTTTCTTTTTTTGTGAAGGGGAATCCCAGAAGTAGAGTGTTGTAGTAAATAACTTTGTGCTCCAGGAAACAATATTTACATAAATTTATACGAGTAAGAGCATTTAAATTAATAAACCAAATAAATATAATTCAACAAATATAATAAATTGTTAATATTGCAGTGCATTTCAGTGAAGTGGACACACATAAAATTTTTTTTTAAAAAGAATATTCATTCAAAAAAGAATATTCATTATAAAACATTTTCTGCTTTTAAAAATTAAAATCATAATTTTTATATTATATTTAATTTTAATGTAAGTTTTGACGGTAGTATTTAACTTAATACACAGTCTTGTGTTTAATAGAGCGGTTTCGAACAGTAATGAAGTACAACAACAAAATTTTTTTTATTATCTTAATTTAATTTAATTTATTTTTATTTGCAGTCTCAAAAAATTATTTACGAATAATTAAATATAAGAAATAATTTAAAACCACCGATATTGGGTATTTGGCAATACTTAAAACACCTGTACAGTCAGCCAAATATTCAATTAATTAAATAAAAATAAAAACTTTTGTTATTGAAATTCAGTACTGTTCGAAACCTCTCTATTTTGATTTTTAAGATGTAATGAATTTGTTCTTTAGTTTTTCATAAATTACCGTAAAATAAATTACTATACACTGCAAAAAGATGTTGTGAAAAGGGTAAATTAAGTTTGTTATGATGTTTGCCCCGCCGTGAAGTAGATGCTTGATACTGCTATATTATGTCTTAAGTAACTTGAAACTATTCTAGTAAGTGAGTGAAAAGGTACCATTTTTAATATTTATTAACAGAGTGCAAAATATTAAAAATCAGGGGTTGCGTTTTTATTTATTTCTTGAGCCAAGGCATTGACTTCAAAAGCTATTTAAAATGACACAGTATTCTCTTCAATATCTTTCTTCAATACAACTGATAAGTAATCTTTGAATGAACACCAACATTTATTTATTAACTATTGTTATATTTGGTAAATCGTAATGCATGATATATCCTGTCTCACATAGGTATATTTTAATCTAAAATTAGTGTTTACTAGAAAATGTATTAGAGTTCAACTTCATGAGACTATGCCAATCATTTCTGTCTTATTAGCCAAAAGCATTTTACATTGTTTTAATTTTTTGTTTAAACTTCTCCAATTTATTTACACTATCCTATGACATTAAAGAAAACTACTAAATATATATAAATTTTGCATTGGGTGATAGTCAGCTAATGCTGATTCAGATCAAATCAGATCAAAATGTTACAGATCTGTTTGATTTCATCATCTTAAAATGATCTTAAATGAAAGGAACAAAAAGTTATCTTGAGACTAACAAAATATTGGGTTTAAATCTTTCTGTGCTTCTTTCTATTGGAAAATAAAGATGAGCTTCTTCCGTGTTAGTTACCTATCTAACTGTAAGTCAAGGTACTAGGTGTATGTATAAGTTTTATCCGGCTTCTTTCTGACAAAAAAAAAAATTTATTTTTAAGGGAAATTAATTTTTTTTTATTTAAAATATTTGGTATCGGTTTCTACATATTTTATCAATTTTCTTGCAATTTATGAATACCATGCTAGAAAAACGTCTTGTCTTTAGCGGCAAATCATTCGTCGAGCTATGTTTAAACTTCCTTGAAATTGCTGACGTCCTGTTCAGCGAGTGCATGTCTAAATTAAAATTTATTCCCTTAGTGGTTCTTTTATTAATTTCTATAAATTTACAATCAATTTCAAAAAAACTTTTTTCGATAATAATAAACTTCTTAATGGATATTTCTTGTCACTTTTTTGATGTGTTTAGCCGTGAATTGATATGTCACAGTTTTGTAGTCTAAAGTTATTGGGAGCTACATTTGACACTATCAAGTGAGAGTAAAAGTGACTTAAAATTGTATATATTCAAATATTATCATATATTATGAATTATATGAATATTATGTTATCATATATTATGAATAGATAGATTCCAAACCGATCATATTGTTGTTATCCAAAACTGTATTCTTTATATGGTTATTCTATGGATTATATGTCATTATATTCTCAGAAGCTTCTTCTTCCGTTATATTAAAATGCATGCAAAGTTCTTTTATGGACAGATTTGGATGTGTTACAACGAAAGTTAGTATACTTTCGGGTGATGGATCTTCATAGAAAGTTTCACCACATTTTAAAAATGCTAATGAATTTGCATCACCATGGCGATCTATTATATGTCGTACAAGTTTCTTCGAACATTTGTAAGTCATGCCACATTTATTACAAGAGAGAAATCCATCTGAATCAATCTGTGAGTGTTTTTTAAGATAGTCACTGGTATCCAAATTTTGAAGAACTGGAACATTAATTTCCTTATAAAAACTTTTCAGAGCATAAACCGACTTGTCAACTGACACTGAAGTCGAGGCATTACTGCTAGTATTTGCAACAGAGTGGACATCTGTTTTGTTGTTTTCTACATCCGAATCTCCATGGATTTGTTGATGGATTATAAACTTTTTCTGCTGTGAAAATGATACATTACATATTTTGCACTCAAACAAGTTTTTAGCACTATGAAATTGTATGTGTTGTATCAGTTTAGTAGAATTGGAGAAGCACTTCGGACAATATGGACATACAAATGGATGTTGTCCAGTGTGTAGTAGAAAGTGTTTTTGTAAATTAAAGTCTCGTGAAAATGTTTTTCTGCATAAACCACAAGTATAAGGGCGCACACCTGTATGTATCACAGTGTGTTTCTTCAGATCTGAATGACGATTAAATCCCTTTTTACAGAGCGGACATATATTTGCTTTTAATTTCGAATGATTATTTTTAATGTGCTCAATAAGATCTCTACGATTTCTCCAGATTAATGTACAAAACTGGCAGCCATATGGCTTATTTCTGTCATGAGTATTTTCATGTTGTTTACACTCCGCTTCAATACTAAAGGCGAGATCACAAAACTTACAAAGAAAATTTTCTTTTATCGGTACATTTAACACAATCAAGGACATTAGTTCCTGAGCCTCTTGAATACTTGGAGATGATTCAGTTATTACACTATTTGATGGTAAGTTCTGTTGAACTTGATTATTTCCAGATGGAGAAAGAGGTGGACATAGTAAATTTTTGATTCGTGTTGGCTCATGTTGTATAGTTGAAGAGTTTGATATTCTTTCTAAATAGTCAATAAAAGAATTATTCCCAGTTGGCATTCCTGTGAATGTACTAGAATTATTGTATAGGGCACTTGAGTATGATACGTTGCCTCGTTGATTTTCGGAATGATTCGAAGAAATGTTTAATTCAGCAAGAGGTGAACTAAAACTGCTCCCTTTAAGATTTACCAAATCATTGTTGTTATTTGAAATAATGGAAGATGTTGCGCAGCTAGGAGTATCTTCTACATAAGTTGTTGCATTTACTTTGCGATCCAAAGACAAGTTAAAACGAATTGGAAGACTTTTATTCTTCATTGTGCTATCATTGTTAGTGTATTTATATATCTTATTATGTGATCGCAATTTATAACCAGTTGCGAGGCTTGTATTCTTCTTTGCGTCATTTTCGTTGGGGCACATAGTATCTGAGGGTAGCACAGAACCGTTTAGAGATGTATTGAAAAAAGATTCAATATTGTTTGAACCAACATTCCCAGCAGCATGCGCAGAATCATTAACACTTTTAATATCTAAATTGTTTGCAGAAAGTTGGTTTTGAGATTTTAATTTTAATTCGTAAGACTTTTGACTTTTGTTTTTGAAAAGAGCGATTTCCGATTGTGAAGCGTCTGTATTTTCAGCTTCATATAATCCACTTAATTTTGCATTTATTTCATTAAAGTTTAAAGTTTGTGCTGAAGTTTCTATACAAGGTTGAACCGATTCATGCGCATCTACATGATTATAATTATATTTTGGAAATAAAAAGTATGTTCAAAAACTTACTTTGAGCGAACTTAGAGGGATCTATTTTCAATTCCTCGTTGAAACGTGCACGTTTAGGTTCTAATATGCCAACCTTTTCATCCATATTTAGAACCTTAGCATTATGGATTTCTTTGGGTCTTTTTTTTCTAATTTTCTTTACCATTTTGCGTGGACTTTTATAACCAAAACTTAAGTCCTTAAGTCACAGGTTGACTTACTTGAATTTAAGACAATTCTGATAATATTTTTATAAGTAAAAACATTTTTCAACTGAAGTCTAAAGAACTTTTGACGCTAAGAACAAAAAATCAGTAAAATTAAATGATGTTACCAACTAAGAATTTTTCACTATAAAGCCTGCCATATATTTTTTATTGCACGTTCTATTGTTTCTTTAAACATATTCTTGATTTCTAAATTTTTTGGATTTGCCATACTTACATACTAAAAATTTCGAATATTTCTTTAATTTAACATAAGTAACTATACATCTCATTCTAATATGGCATTTACACTGGCCGTAAATGACTCATTTCAAAGCAGTAGCTTGAAAGTATTTACCAAAGAAGATAAAGAAAAGAAACTGAGAGTTGCTCGAGAAATTGTGTGTAAAATCTTCTGGATAATTCAAATAATATTCAATATTTTGAGTAATGAGGTGAAAATATCACGCAGTAGAAAAACAAAAAGCCTAATGCTACACAATAGCGCATGATCATTTTCCCCACCCGGTCTTGCTATTTTGCCCACCCAGTCCCTACTCACCACGATACTTGCTAAAATAAGAGCACTTTCCGAAAAATTTTGTTGTGTTTTGGTTTTTTGATGTTAAAAATTCCTTAAGACATTTGTTTGTGATATTACACAAAGAGGCGCAATGATTCAAAATTTCCTTTCAGTTACTTTTCTTTGTCTTCTTCGGTATTTACATTCGTTGTTCTTTATTGGTTCTTATTTCAAAGAGTTGATTTGTCCACGTGCGTGTTGATTTCGGCAAAACTTGAATATTACACTCAACGAAAAATGGTTAGTGTTATTGATAATATTTTAAACTCAAAAATATGATTGATACTATTTAGTTTATTTATTGGAAAACAATATTATTACTTAACTTAATTTTATTAATAGATAATAAATTACAATGACATAATTTTATTAATAGATAATGAATTATAATAACTTAATTTTATTAATAGATAATGAATTATAATAACTTAATTTTATTGTGACGATGTTGTTGTTAATTATAGTCGTCACAACTGAAAACTTATTTTTAACTTCGATTAAGTACTTTTTAGGAAGTAGAAGTTTCAAAAAGAGGTGCATCGTTTTCTAGGAAATGATACGACCATATAGATTTTACGAAGTTATAAAAATTTGCTCCATATTTTTACTCAATACATAGTGCTTTAAGTATTACTATAGTTTACTGTACTTACGGTACTTCAGTTATTAGTTATCTGATATAGTAGAAACAAATATTAAGAATACATTACGCAAAAACGAGTTATAGCTGGCGCAAAATTGTTACATCGTAACGCAATGTTGATATAAATAAACGTTGTTATAAAAATAGCTGAGATGGTATGTCTAAAACTTATAAGATAAACCAAAACATGTTAACTCTTCTTCGGAGAGTTCCCACACTGAAGAAGAAGCTGGAGAAGGTATTCATGAGCTGTGGTTGAAATCCTTATAAGCGCTAGGGAAAAACACAACTCTTTTTTAATCAGAAATTAATCTATACATACTTTAACCTTGAACGTAATTATCATACATATAGAATAGTTATTCTACTTGATGGTCAGACAATTTTAAAAGCACTCGATTCTCAACATGTAACATCAAGTCTATTGATGGAGTGTCTCAAAAAGCTTAATGTGAGATTCTTCAACAAAACAATCAGATATGCATCCAACGGGTTCTGCTGATATTTCCGGCACCGAAGTTGCAGACAAACTTGCCAGGTAAAGGGTGGCCTACCTTGGTGTAGGCCCGAAACTATTTTGTGGGTTTAGAGGAGGTAATTTCTTTTCACCAATTTCAAAAGAAGAGGAGAACCAAAATAAGCTCTACTGGAATAAACTACCAGTGCCATTACAATTAAAATCGGTTATATCCTTAAACTTAAAACAATTTAAGGATTGACTCCAATTAATTGAAAATAATTTTTAAATAATTACAGGAACTCTGACAGGGTACTATAGGTTAAACTTAACCTTATCAATATGGTATCAGCAGTAATAGCAATTATAGTTTGCAAACAGAAGCATAGTTTCGTGTGTGTCTAGAGACAAGAAACATAGTTAACAAAAAAGTGAATTGGACATTATTTTTTTCTAAAAAATTATTATAAGATTAAGTGGAACAATAACACTTTCGAAACGAAAAACTTATTCTAATGAAATTTGTAGGTTTCAAAGTCGGTTTTATTTTTTTTGGGAGTTTAACTGTTATTTTGATCGTATTTTTTTTGTATATTTTGTATATACATTTGTATATTTTGTATATACATATATATGTATACGTATATATATATATACATATATATATATATACGTATTTTGACAAATTCGCTTTTGCCTTCATCAGGAGCATTCCTATTAGGTTTTGTAAAAAACAGAATTAAACGTCAAAACACGTATTAATATTTTGTAACGTATTAATTCATAACGAAAGAAGTAATTAAGTGGGCATCTCATATCGGATAAATAAATAAGTCTCGGCAATATAGTTTTAATACTACAATTTATGGGGAAACTTGATTTGACTACTACGACTATGATTTAGCAATCCCTTTTTCACATAGACTTCTGAGTCTCTGGCTGTAATGGATTAAATTTAAAAATTGAGATTTTAAAGAACTAATAAGAAATTTTTATTTTAATAGATATGGATTCTACGTGTTCAGCAAAGTTGTTACGAATTAATAAATAAGTTTCAGTCTGTTAGACATCCTTCCCAAAATTACGTTTATTGCCTCATAAAATGTGGTTTTATCTAAAATCAAACTGTAGAAAAAAAAAACAATTTTTAATACAATTTTAAGTATATTTTAAAAATCTTTCCTTTTGAGAAAGGGGGGAAATGGGGATCTAAAAATAATATTTTTTAATCTATTTATAAAGATAATATAGGGGTCTATAATCGCATTTCTTAAATTAAATATTTTTTATTAACCCTTTAAAATCACAACATTTGAACTTCAACTCATTATGGTTGGTTGGTTGCAGTGGCAGGTCATTAGATAACTTACTTGTACTTCAATTAGCAATTTTTCGAAATTTTGCTACCACATTTATCACAAGAACCCTAGTATAGAAGAGTAAACATTAAATCCATCCCGTCGAATTTAGATAATTTAATAGGTCTTTCGTTTTCATCGATGAACAGTCAGATAAACTATCAAAAAAGTATCCTCCTAAGAACCTATATCTTCTGGACACCAAAGCCGGGCATTCACAGAGAACATATATTATGGTTTCTTTTTCCTGTGGGTTTTCTCAACTTCTGCAGTGAGGATTATGAAGAATTCGCAGTTTCTTTGCGAGAGTTTTTATACACCAATGACCAGAAAGAACTGTATTAAGCCTAGCAGTGTTCACGCGGTCTCTTTTGATGAGTTCAGATGATCTATTTTTAACTCATTATAGTCACAGATTCACATTTAGATAAAAAAACGGGTGGAAGAATTGAGACCAGTTGCTCTTAATTATCTTTATAGTAATGAAAAATTAAAATTAGCGTAATTATTTTAATAAAACAAGGTTATTGTTAAGTTAAATAATTTATTCAAATTTTTATTTTTTTCATTAAATATTTATATTATAAATTTTTTTTCTTAATTTTCGCATTTCAAATTTTTTCTCCATTTTCATCATCATTTCAAGAATAGTTTACAGTTCGCTTTTTCAATATTAAAACAAAATTATTTATTATTTTTAATTTTATTTTACAATTAAGTTTCGTTTATTTTTAAATATAGTTTATAGACAATTTTTTTTAGCTGTTTTATAAAAAAGTAAGTTTTATAAAGTATAATTTTTTTTTAAGTCTTAAAAAAAAAATACATAGAAATTTAGTGTAAGAATTAATAATGAATAAAATATTAAAATCATTTAAAACTCAACTGCTAAAACAAAAATTTTTTTTTTATGTAGTATAAAACAAAAAATTAAAATTTATATAAAACTAAATCATATTTTTTTAATTCTGTTTGTATTTTATTTTTTTGGTTAATTTTAGACACAATAAGTTTTTTCCATTTAATTTTAGCTGCAATTTTTGTTTGAATTTATACTTTTAACTTGAACTTTAAAATTTGTTTTTTTTAACGTTTTAATGCTTAATTTATAAATTTCATAGAAAAGTGCAATTTAAACTAATTTAATTTATTATATATTTTACTTCAGTTTTTTTTATTTCTTTATATAATTTGTAAAGACTTTTTTCAGAAAGAGTGTTTATGCTAAGTTTTTTGAGTAAACTAACTTTGACTTATTTTTGTTTTAGTATATATAATGTATGTATTTATACTAAGAAAGTATATAAAACTATAAATATAAGTTTAATTTTCATTGCATTTAATATGAAACTATAATATACATATATATATATAAATTTATGTATATATAAATATATGTATATGTAAACATATATCAGTTTCCCACGAAAATTACTTAAATGCTAAATATAATTTATTTTAAGATTTTAAACCTTTTCAAATTTAATAAAAAGTTTTTTTAATTTTTTGTTTATAAAAATAGTTTAAAAAAATATTTTATTAAATTTAAAAATGTTTTATTACTGAAAAAAGAGGAAGAGCATTTTTAAATACATATTTGTAAATATTATATAGTTATTATACATATATAATATATATATATATTTATTAATTATAATTTCACGAGCACACGCGAGCATCTTTCTGTAATTTTTTACTTAATATTTTACAAATTTTTTTGTTTCTTTTAAAATATTTAATATATTATTGCTAATTTGCTTATATACTTTAATTTCAAAAATTTCTGGTTTTTTGTTCTTATCATAATTTCTCATTATTCTGAAATGTTTTTACAAATTATTTTTTTTTTATCAAATTATTTTTTATTGCTCTTTATTATTTATTGTTTTTTTTCTGCTAAAGATCGCAGCTTTTCCTACAAATTCTGCAGTTTAAAATATTCATTCGTATTCCTTATGGTTTTACATTTGCGTCTATTTGCTATTTTGCTATAATCCTTAATTTTAAAATTTCTAAAAAATTTTTGCATTCTGGGTCCATTTTTCAAAAAAAAATTACTTTTGTTTTATTTTAA